TTCAATCCCTGCCTTGGTCTGGCACGTTCAGGAGGCAAACCAATCAATGTACCTCTCTCACATTAATGTTACTTTCTCTCTCCTTCCCTCCTTCTTTCCCTCTTCTATTCTATCTAAAGCACATCCTAAAGTGAGGATTAACAACAACAAAATTTATAAGTTAAAGATAACTGCTTTTTTTTTTAATTGAGATATAAACTGACATATAACACTATGTTTGTTTTTGAATCTTTAAGAGGTATTTAGTATTAAATGAATCTAAAGGTCAATGAGCAAAATGTCAACAGCCTAAAAGAAAAATGGACAAAGAATAGAAATGTAAATATCAATGGTTTTTAAATATGTGAAAATATGTTCAACTCTCATTCATAATAACACAAATGCAAATTAAACTGCACATTGATTCACCCAGTGAGTTGGCAAAGATCAAAATGTTTGATAATACTTGCCCAGGGTAAGAAGAACATTTCTGATTAGAACATAAATTATTACAATCTCCATGAAGAAAAATGAATATCTGAATAAATAAAAAATGCATATACTCTTTGATCCAGCAATTACACTTCTAGAAATTTACCCTATTAAATGATAAATATGATAAATATAAAATGTTTCTCACTATAGCACTATTTGTAATCACAAAATAATAGAAATAACCTAAAAGTCTATGAACAGGGGATTAAATTAAATTATGATACAGATAGGCAATGTAATAAGCATCTGTTTTTAATAAAAAAGAATGAGGGCCCTAGCTGGTTTGGCTCAGTGGACAGAGCATTGGCCCTTAGACTGAAGGGTCCGGCTTTGATTCCACTCAAGAGCATGTACCTGGGTTTCAAGCTTGATGGCTGGGCCTGGTTGGGGTGTGTGTAGGAGGCAACCCATTGATGTTTCTCTCTTTGTCTCTCCCCTTCCCTTCCACTCTCTCTAAAAATCAATGGAAAAAATATCCTCAGGTAAGGATTAACAAAAAAATTTAAAAATTTTTAAAAAGGAAGGAGGAAGCTCTTTTTATTTAAACGGGCAAAGCTATCTGTTTTAACATATATTTTTAAAAGATATATACAGTATATATATGTAAAGCTAGAGACATTGGTTACTTTCAAGGAAAGAAACTGGGTACTTGGTTGGGAAGGAGAATTTCCATTGTATTCCCTTTTGTACTTTCTGAATTTTTAACTATGTGACTATATTAACTTTTCAATTAATAAGTAAAAAATTTTAAAGGAATAAGCAGCATTTACAAATAATTTTTCTAAGTTATGAGATGACTTCTAAATCTGACTCTATGAGAGACAAGACAGGAATTCTTCGGTGGCTTCCCCTGCAATCCGAGTAAAATGTACCTTCTGTCATCACAGCCAAGGCCTCACCTAACACAGCCTTCTCAAGCACCATGCCAGCCACTCAGGCCCTTAATTCGATTTGGTGAACACATCAGGCTCTTTCCTCTACCTGAAAAGCTCTTTCTTCCCTCGGTTCTTTTCATAGCTGGCTCCCTCTTGTCCTTCAGATATTCTATCAAATGTAATATCCTCAGAGAGGTCTTCTCTGACCATCTAATCTAAAGCCCACTTCTAGTCCATTCCTTTCTTCATATTACCCTATTTTATTTTCTTCTTTATTAACACCACTGAAATTATCGTTTTAATTTTTTTACTTGTCTATTGTCTTCCCCACTAGAAGATAAGAGAAGAGCATCCTCCCTGTGCCTAACGGTATAGCAGGCACTCAATAAATATTTGTTCCTGGCAAGTGTGGCTCAATGGTTGAGCATCAACCCATGCACTGAGAGATCCCCAGTTCGATTCCTGTTCAGGGCACATGCCTAGGTTGCAGGCTCTGTCCTGGGTGGGGGTTGTGCAGAAAGCAGCCGATCATCGCTTTCATCAATGTTTCTATCTCTCTCTCCATTTCCCTTTCCCTCTCTCTAAAATCAATAAAAATGTATTAAAAAGTAAATATTTGTTAATAAAATTATTGTTGAATAACTAGACTCACTACCTTGAAATCCTAACTTTTCCTTAACGAGCTCTAATTAAAATGTTAAAGTTTGGGAGTTGCTGAATGAATAACAGCATAGGAACCCAGGCATACTTTTAAAACAATAGAACATTAAACAAAGAAAATTATTATTTGACCTCACACCAATTTTAAAGAATTAATACATTCCAAAACTACACTCTTCTTGGATTAAAAAAAAAATCTGTCTTCTATTTATTATATAAATATATATAAAAATATATGTATACACACACACACACACAAATACATACCTTAAAACATATCTAGATACGTAATTAAGTTTTTCCTATACCAGACTAAGATGTAGAACATACTTTATGCCACAGCCAAATATTTATCTAATTAAGAGTTGAATTGCTCTTGCAACTGTTGTCTATAAGAAAAACTCAGAAACAAGCATAGTATTATGTATGCATGTCAATACCTTTAAGATCTTCCCAGTTTACAGATATCTTTAGACAAGCATAGAATCTAAAATGCTGTGAGGATTTGATATGCTTTTGTACCTGAAATGGTTATTTTTCCTTCTTCTCCTCACTCTAAGTGTTATAAGATAGAGTCTTATGGACAAGCCTGGCTAGTAAGGCTCATCTAGACAAAGTCAGAATGAACAAGAAGGTACATGAATTTCAATTCATAGAAAGTAGTGAGATAACCAACAAATGCTCCCACCGACTCCCAAACCTCAGTGTGTGCTGGCTGTTTCCAGTCGTACTGCCCTTTTCTAAGGTTATAAATAACTACAAAGTGTCCCTGTCCCCAAGGAGACCTTCGCAGCCATCTCAAAGGTTAAAATATGGAATAATTTTCACTTTGGATGCAACTTTTCCAGGTAGCAAAATAACCAAAGAGCAGAAAAATGTATTGCCAATTTAAGTTAAGGTCTGGGGAATCATTCCCTTCCCCTGAAAACTATCCATTATGTGCGCGTTGTTGACATAGACATAACAGCCTAATTCTCTACTCCAAAAATACGTCCATGGGTGATGCAATGCACACTCTGCTCCTTGTGCAGAGGTCTCTCCTGGAAAGAGACAGGCAGATTCGGCTCAATAGCCTTGTAGAATTGTGCCCCCTTACACCTTAAAAAGACTTTTTGAGTTTTATTTTTGCTTTTAATTTAAATACAAATTACTTTTGAGCTAAATACATCTACAAAACAATGGAGGGGGGAAATCCTGTCTCCACTTGGGTGGAGGACACGGCAGAATAAACCATGGCTACCACCACCACAGATTTCCCTGGCTTAAACCATCAGGTGATGTGCTGCTCTTAATTAGCACCCTGCTAGGAAAAAGAAAAACTCCCCCAACTGCTTTTTTAAAAAGGCAGAGAGGGTTCATCAGATTAAGCTTCTCCACACATTACTTTCAAAATCCATCACTTGGGAGATGTCTGAAATAGAACGACATGAATCCAAATCAGCAAACAAATCTGATTATAACAGGGCTATTTCACTTCAAAGTGGATCTCAGTTCCAAAGGAAAACACCTTTAGAAATGAAGTTGGATAAGCAAAACTAAACAATCAGCAACTCCAATCTTTTCAAAAATTATAACAACATGTTAATTCAACGGAATGGCCTGGGTGAAAATCTCTAAGGCCACAAAGAGCAAAGTTAGGAAAGATGAAAATTTTAACACATCCCACATGTTATCAAAGATTTCTCCTCTAGGTTGAGAAAAATTATTCTAAAACAAGAACTGGAACAGAATTATTAAAAAGAAAGAAGGGGCGGGAAGGGGGAAGGAGAGAGAGGAGGGGGAGAAGTGAGAGAGGGAGAGAAAACCTTATGGCTAAGAAAATCTTATTTCTATATAATTATATTCCCAAAGTTGTTTTGAGATTTGAAATGCTTTTCACCCTTTCCCTTCCACTACAACTATGAGAAACCTTATAAAATCCAAATAGTAAACAGATGAAAGGCTTGGCCCTAATACAATTCAAGTGTGTCAATCTGCAAGGACCTCAAAAACAAGAGTCCTTTTATGAAACAAACAGGAGAGGTTGCATAACCCACAGGTTCCTCTAGTCTTTATAGAAGCCAACTTCAACATGTGCTTCTCTTTGGCCATCTAGACTTTAGCCAAGCCATTTAAAAACATTTCTTGCTAACACCATCTGGCTGTAGAAAGGGGCCCAAAGAATGCATATCAAAGAAGAAAGGCTAAGTTCGTCTTAAGATATACAATTTGGACTAAGTTCATTAGCTTAGAAGCTGAAAAAGCTCACTATGCTCCAGAGGATTTAATATTTATTACATGGGCAATCAATTTTCTTCAGCATTAACTGCTGTAATACTATCTGGTTTTAAAAAGAATCACTTCAATGGAATTCAGTATTTTCCGGAGCTACCTCTTCAGGAGACACCTAGACCTCCCTCTGACTGTAAGAGACTGAGGCACACATATGCTTTCATCTTCTCCTTTAACTATGGCCTTAACTAAAGAAATCTGATGACTGTTTACATGAACCCATGCTCCTTGCCTAGCAAATATTGGCAGAAAATAAATTCTCTCTTCTTCTAAAGTTATGAAAATAAGTCCATTTCTATGTAAATGGTAAGGTTCTAACTAAAATAAATGGAACAAAGAATGGGCAGGAAGTTCTCAGCTTTAAATGTTTATTCCAAAATTCATGACACAAGGAAAGAGTAAAACCACACAGGCAGACAAGAGAAAGTTAGACAGAATTTCCTGCCTCCCAATGATTTGTGTCAGAATTCAATTAGCAAGCAATAGTACCTGTTTTACCCAGTAAAACACTGTAAAAACATACTTACACATTTGAGGTAAGAATCTCATACCACAAAGTACAAGTTTTAAGATGCTAGCCAGAATGGTAGAAAAAAAATTTAAAGTCACTCACAAAGAGATGTGCATTTTTTAAAGTCATAGTAAACATTTCTATGCATTTCATTCCTCTTTTTTCCTCATCTTAAACTATATTTAAAATAAAACCATGTGAAAACTTACCAAGTTAAGTCAGTAGTAGGAAGACCAATTTATCTTGTCTAACAGGAAATCTCTGTTGGAAATAGAGATGATGAATTAGACTTAACTAGATTCTGAGTCTCATATAAGTCCTTACTTTGGCTATTTTGCAATGGGGAAATCTTACAAAAGCAGGTGTACATTTGCTAGGATTTACAAGTCAAATTACCATTCTTCTATCTGTAGTCCTGAGTGCTCTATTTTTTTTTAATGATCTTTCAAAAGGATAATACTTAGAAATTAAAGTCAGGAAAACCCAAAGCTAGTTATTCTAATGAACTGGCCTATGAATGCAGCAAAATGAAATAAGTGGCTTGCCCCACTATAACCTGAGGGGAGTGATCACTTTTGCCAGCTCCCTCACAAAATATTGAAAGAATTACTATGAAGTTTTTATGTAAAATACTCTTTAAAAAAAAAAAAATGTCCTAGGTCACTTATACCAAAACAAGAATCATTTAAACAAAGCCATGTTTCCTATGGTTTTGATAAACAGTTGTAACACTGAGGTTCCTATTGAAGACTGGTGAGATAACTTGGTTAAACACCACCACTGCTCCACCTAATTATCTATCATATTCTACAAAGTGACTCAAAATAGAAACAGGAATAAGAGCGGGTGCAAGGCTTCAGGAGCCTCATTTAGGCATAAAATTCTGGTGCTATTTTCCCTTTTGCAGGAAAAGAAATGCTGCATATATTGAGGATAATTCCTTAACAATGGCATCTTTTCCTGAAAATGTAAACATTATCTTTAACTGTTACACTGGTACAAATGTATTTCTCTTATTTTGGTAAACCAAATCTTGTTATTAACAGTAATGGAATGACCCCTCACCAAAAATTGTCTTAAACTACTGATATTAAAATAGAACAATCATGGCCAGAATTAAGAGTAGCAAGAGTCAGGCTGAATTCATTTAATTAATATTTACTGAACACTTACTGTGCAAGGCATTATTTGAGATACAGTGGTTTCAAAACAACTAATCCCCCCAAAAAAAACATAGACAAGGTTCCTGATCTTATAGACAGATAACATGTCTTTAAGACCTTATAAGTAACTACTCCTCAGGCAGAAGTTATCAAACTTAAATAAAAATGCTCTGAATATCTATGTTTCTTAAAGTCAAAACCTTTAGTCCTCTCTCTCTCTCTCTCTCTCTCTCTCTCTCTCTCTCTCTCTCTCTCTCTCTCTCTCTCTCTCTCTCTCTCTCTCTCTCAGTTTAAGGTTTTGGTTTTTCAGTTAATTTGCTAGAATGAACATTTTTAGACCCAAAGGATTAGCAAAATCTAGAGTCTGACAATACTAGTAAGGACTAGGAGGAACAGGGACACTCTCACACTCCTGGTAGGACAAATTAGTACAACCACTTTGGAAAAACCGTTTATTAACTAAACTAAATAAAACTAAAGATCCAGAAATTTCACTCTCAAATATGGCCCAGAGAAACTCCTCCTGCACACGTAAAAAAAAGTTCATAGCAGTTTTATTCATAACGGCCAAAAACATCATCAACCCTAGAATGGCTACATATATTCAAATAATATGATGCTATATGGCAATGAAATTAAACTACAGTTCTATATAATAACATGGATGAAAGTTACAAACATACTATTAGGTCTTAAAGAAGACACAAAAAAACACTTACAGTATTATTCCATGTATATAAAGTTCAAAAGCAGACAAAATTAAGCTATATGGTTCGCAATGAAACCTAGACAGTAACATCACAAAATAAGGATATAATTATCATGAATGTCAGACTAGTCATACTTGTGTGGGTTATAAGCTAGGAGAGGCACACAGCAAGCTTCTTCAGGGTGTAGCAATGATATATTTCTAGGTCCTATTATTGGTTATATAGGTACTTGTTTTTTATAATTAATCTTTATACAATTATGTTTTTGTGTATTTGTTATGTTTCATAATTAAAATGTTCAAAACATGTTAAAATAATCTAAGAGTGAAGAACACAGTTTTGAATCTCATGTTTCTGACTATAAAAGTAAACATGCTTTTTGGGTCCACTTACAAACATTTTTTTCAAAAATACTACAGTATTTTTCCCCTCTGTGATTTTCTTGACATTTTTTCTTTTGCTTACTATAGTGTAAGAATACAGTACACACATAACATACAAAATATATATCCACTGGCTGTTATCAGTAAGGCTTCCAGTCAACAGTAGCCTAATAGTTCAATTTGGGGGGAGTCAAAGTTATACATGGATTTTCAACTGCATGGGGGAATTGGTACCTGTAATCCCTGCATTGTTTAAGGGTCAACTATGTGTGTGTTTAAATTTTATTTACATATTTACTTACTAAATATATTTAATACTTATTGTAAATAATATCTATTTATTTCTTCCAATGTCTAAGAGTAAATAAATGTCTTGCACAATATACCCTTGATTCCTTCCCCCTACCCCAAGACAATTTAGGATGATAAATGGATAACAGAGTAGGGCTACTCAGAAATGAATACCTACAGACAGGCTTTCTTACTATACTTGCTTTCTTTGAGTTTATATCCAATAACACTTAAGATCTGTATTTCAAGAACATTTTCAATACAGACACAAACATTTAAATCTATGTATGTATGACTACCCATCAGAAGCCATTACTGAATACCCAAAGTATTGTAAAAAATAAACAAATGCTTCTGTAAGAGCAAAGCCAGGATACAAGTATATTTTGGTATTACCGTTTTAGTTTAATTGTGGCCTCTGATGAAACCTCCAATGACTTCCCATCTCATTCCGAGTAAAAGCCAAAATCCTGACAAGGGCTTAAAGGCCCAGCACAATCTGGACGTCATTACCTTCTCCTGCCTCATCTCCAATTACATTCTCCTGAGCTCGCTACGTTTCAGCCACACTGCCCTTCTTTGCTCTCGTTCCTCCAACAGAATAGGCTCGTTCCCGTCTCAGGGCTTTGTGCTTGGCCTTTCTCTACGACTCTTCCCTGAGATAGTCTCCTGACACACACCCTCACCATTGTTGGATCTTTTTGTAATGGTCACAGAGATGTGAGGCCTACCCTGACACACTGAAAAATGTAATCCCCCTCCCTATAGGCCCAGCAGTACTCCTCCATTACTTTTTTCTATAGCACACAATAAGTCATCTACCTTATTGTAGTTGGAATGTAAGAAGGGAGACTCCTCTCTATTTTGCTGCTGCACCAGTCAGTGTCTGGCACATGGAAGGCAGAAATAAATACTTATTTAATAAATGATTGAATTAATTTCCTTTTCTTTTGGATTTCTATCCTTGAAAAATTAAACATTAACTCCATACACTCCAAAAAACAAAGTTTCCTCTGTCTATATGTCAAAATTAATAAAGTTTGTTTTACTAACAAGTTTCAGGTTTGTGTTCTTATTAATATTAATGAGTCACAGGTAAGATTTATATAAAGTTGATATAAATGAAATTATATTTCCCCTAACAAATGTGCAGTGCCTGTTTTAACAGCAATGCTGGGAGAGCCCAGAGACACAACGACTCCCCCGATTTGCTGGTGCAGCTACACAATGGCATAATCACTGTGGGAGCTGCCTGACAAGATACAGCATGAAGACTGAGTGATTGCTCCTTTTACCTATACTTTTGTTATTTTTCTGTTCTTAAAAAAAGCATGTTTTACTTTTATAATCAGAAAAACAGGTGTTTTAAAAATAAAATATAATTTCAAGAAGTTCTTTACATTATATATTTACTAACACAGAAACAATAAAGGCTCCTGTTGTATATCTGGATGAAATAGCCCAAGAAGGGAACTATAGTTAGAAAAAAAATTATTTTTGAGTTAGGAACTAAATTTTTATGGAGTTTCCAGAGTAGAAGGGAAAACAAAACTCTGGTGTTAGCATTCCATACAAGAATATGACTTTTTTCCTAAAGAAATATCTAAAATAGAAACATTTCTACACAGCATACCATGTGGGACTGATGTGATGAAGTGCAGGTAAGGAACTCCATTCAAACTTAGTGATTACAATGGTATAAGGAGGGCAATTCACTAAAGAAAGTCTACAGGATGATAAGTTAAAGTCGAGTAAGCCTAGATCCAAAGGTTACTTTCAAGTCAACTGGAATAACTTGTCTCCTGAACCATCTCTTAAGGCATAATAAATCTTAGAAAAAAATACATATCCATCTCATGTTGTACAATTATATTTATTACTAAGATTTCCATTTTAAGTTTTATCCATTGTTTTTAAAACTATGTAGCACATAAATTTTTCTCAAATTCTTAAGATTGTTGATATATTCATGAGGTAAATCTATCATTAATATACATTCATGAGGTGGCTGCCCAAACTAGTTAAGGAATTCCTACTCAAATACTTGCAGCTGGCAGAGTGTATTATTAGAGAAGAGTAACAGTTTTCATTTGTAACACTTCAGCATTCCAACTGCTCAGAGCTCTGAATAGAATCCACCTTTAAGTAGGAGGGGAAATATGAAATATAAAAATTAAAAATATACTCAGTCTCACAATAATGAATAAAAGCATAGTGGATTAAAGTCTCCAGAAAAAAATTATAAATGAAAAACACTGGCCATAGAAACATATGGTCCCAGATTAAAATTTACTTATAATAATTCTAATCTAAGGTAAAGGTTTCTATTTTTTAAATGCTTAATTTGGCTAAGAATGCTCTAAGAACTCTTCATAAATATCACTATGTTTGGATTATGCTGAATTTATAAGGTGACACAAGAATTGCATGAACTTGCCCTAGCTGGTTTGGCTGAGTGGATACAGATTCGGCCTGCAGACTGAAGGGTCCCAGGTTCAATTCCAGTCAAGGGCACATACCCAGGTTGCGGTCTCAATTTCTAGTAGGGGGCATGCAGGAGGCAGCCAATCAATGATTCTTTCGTATCATGAATGTTTCTATAGCTTTCTTTCCCTCTCCTTTCCTCTCTGAAATAAAAAAATATATATTAAAAAAAAAAAGAATTGGATGAACTGGATTGAAGCTAGTGGGCAGGGAATATTGTAGGAGTTAAA